GATGACAAGTATCTTAGAGACATTGTCATAAGTTTCCTCTTGTCCGGTCGTGACACGGTGGCCTCAGGGCTGACTAGCTTCTTTTGGTTGTTAACACAGCATCCAGATGTCGAGTCAGCCATCCGAGACGAGCTGGAACGGGTCGTGGGGTCGAGTGATGAACAATTCGCAAGCTTTAATCAAATGCGAGAGATGCACTATCTGTTCGCGGCGTTGTATGAAAGCCTGAGACTGTTTCCACCTGTCCAATTCGACTCCAAAGTTGCTCAAGAAATGACATATTGCCAGATGGAACCTTTGTGAGGAATAGGGGTGGGAATAGATCAGGCCGACTTACATAGGCCTACAAAAAAATCTAGTCTGACCTATTTAATAAAAAGGTCAAATTCGAACTTTTCTAAAAGCCTATTAAACTATATAAATTAGGCTTAGGCTTGTTAAAAAGCCTAATAAGCCTAATAGGCCTACTTATTATATTTTTAGGTACCAATAATATATATTATTAACAGTGTCATGATTATAAGTAGATTTTTCTCTATACTTGCGTTTTTTCTCTATACTTGTGTTTTTTCTTTTTACTGTGTGAGCACCATTTTTAATTAATTTGGCTCATATCCCACACCATGCACAACCATATTATAATCTCAGATTCCTTAGCTAGCAGCCACCATTTATACCCACGTGACAGCTGTCGTTTTCGATGTCAAAATAATTCCTTATTCTCAATCAATAAATAAAGGAAATACGTAGTATAGAGAAATAAGGGTCGAATCCTCAGGGACTTAGAAAATCACAATTTAATGTTTGAATGGTTCTAACCAGGCGAAAATAGTAAAAAGGGGGTTTGTAATATGAGATTAAAATGGTAAAAATAAATAAAAAACAATTTAAATAAAAATAAGAGTATGAAGATTGTGAATAAATACGGTAAAAGTAGCCTCAAGCTTCGCTTTGATTCAATATCCTTTAGATCATCGAATAAGATTTTCTCTTCGGGATTCACGTCGGTTACTTTGTCTACAAGGGTTATCCTTGTGACTCTATCTTGTATACCGAATACCCAAGGCAATCTTTGATTCCGGCTTCGGTAGTTGATTCTAACAACATCTATTGTCGTAGATCAAATACCGTTTAAGTTCGTGGCGACCGACTCGGATTGTTGTTTCTATAACCGTCAATTCCGATCTCAATTCCCTCTTGGCGAAGCTATCTCGCCAAGTGTGTTCCCAGGAAGTCGAATTGCTTTCTATAAGCCGAATCTTCCTCCCACACGTTTAATCGCAACAACTTCTTGACCAAAGTCAATCTTCGATTTTTGAAAACTGTTTTGATTTTGAAAAAATAAGCGCAGAGATTGAGAGAGAGATTCCGAAGATATTAAGGGACCGTTTCAATTCTCCCGTTGGAATTGAATCATCGCGACAGCTCTCGGCTTATGAAAAGTTTAGCTAAGCATGACAAAAGTCATACTTAGCATAAAAATAAAACTTGAAAATAAAGAAAAATAAAAAGAACTTGAAAAGGAAAAGAGAAAACTTTTATAAAAACTAGAGAGAAAAGAAGAATGTATTCTGAATGATGAGTTTAGGCTTACCCCAAGTGGGTATTTATAGCCTCTCAAAGCCTAAAGGATAAACAAAGAAAATAATAAAATAATACAAAAGATAATTGTTTTTAAATTTAAATTCAAACTTAAACTAGTCTCCTAATGCAACTCTACTCGTCAATCTTCCAGAAGGCGTGCGGAAGAAGTCTTCTAGAAACCGCCGCTGACTGGACCTTCTAGAAACTGCCACGTCATACCGTGTCGTTCCCAGAGTCGTGCCCATGTCTCCAGCCGTGACCAAATAATAATAAAAAATGCATAATTCGCCCGTTTTGTCACAAATTCTGGAAAACAATGACCTGTACGAAAACAAGCACAACACGACCAAATCAACAGCAATAAATCCACAAAACCGAAGAAATAACGAGCAAATATTAACTATTCTGAACACTCATTAAATTCCCCCTCACTTATCTCATGCTTGTCCTCAAGTATGATTAACCAAATCAGTAAAAACTTCATTAAACGTTCTTTGTCAAGTTTCATATTCAAGGAAGCAAGGTAGAGACCACAATAACTATTGAAGTCAAGAAATCAATCAACTGAACATCACCAATTGAAACAAGTCAAGTGCAATTGTAATATCCATTCATTCATAAATCTCAATGCTCATAACTCAATACCTTACCGGGATTCACTCAAATCACTCAATGTGTTTGGGGTAAAGAAACGCTCAATGTCAGAATCGACACGATATTACCATAAGCCTGCAAGTAAATCAAATCTCCACTACTAATAAGAACAAGATGCATAAATCAAAGGGTCTTTTATTGGTTGTAACGTGGCTTAGGTAAAGGTGGGGAAAAGGCTAAATATATGGCTAAAATTCAAGGTAAGGAACTAACAAATAATAATCTCAACTCCATCAAAACATTAAGCACAACAAGATAAAAAAAAACAAAATATCAAACAACAAATTTCTTATCGAAATGCATTTTTCACAATTTTGTTGTTTTGTCTTGCATTTTTTTTTCACGTCTTTTTTTGTGTTCTTTTTTTCTTTCGAACAGTCTCTCTTTTTTCGAACAACTGCTTTTTTTTCATTCAACATTTTTTTCGATGGAGAATACAATGGTAAAATTATTCACTTGCCCTGAAAAAGGTAGAAAAGAGGGATAAAATAAAAAGGCTCGGGTTTATGAATATGGTGGAAACAAAGAAATGGAAATAGGCTCAAAAGTGGTTAACTAAGGGAAAATATGCATGGGTAGGCTATTTAGTGGGAAAACGGAATGGTTAATCCTAAGGTGCCCAAATCATTTTTAAGCACCATGTTCATGTGTAATCTCGACAGTATTTAACATGCAGGTTCTAGAATGCCAATGTCAAATTCGACACACTCAATCAAACAAAATGAGAGCGAAAATGATATGCTCGTAAAGGCTCAAATCTCACCAAATTGTTTCATGCATTGAGCTAATCACATTTCAACCAACAAAGTCATGGAATATCACAAAAATAACTTATCACAATCCATGCTATCCATTATCAAGAATATCATAACCTAAATAATCATGTGTTCCCATACAAGCATAGCATTCCAAAAATTTTCAACAAGACAAAGATAATTAATGAAATTTCCGACCAATTCAACCAACACATACTAGATTCAAAGCATAAAGATAAGAGAAATGAAATTCAATCCTACACTCTACTCCCCCTCACTTAAAGCGTTTTGCCTCAAAACGAATAATTAAAGTGCAAGAGAAGGAATAGAGGACTCCCCTGAACTAGTGTCGACTACGGCCACGGCCTCGGCCGCGGTGAGAGGTGCTAGGACGGAGGTATGAGAGAATTTCTGTGATGTTCGTCTCGATAGAGTGGAGGCGGTCGTGAACTTTATCCATTTGTGACTGCATATCTGGGCGTGGTACTGCAGGAGGCGGCGCTAGTGTGTTTCGACGAATGAAGACTCGCTCGCTGCGAGGAGTGAGGACACCCGGTGGAACGAAGTAAGGTGCAGTTGGGGTTCCGGCAAGTAGGCCCATTGAATCCAAGCAACGCTCATCTAAAGCATCTGTAGAAAAAGCATAAGTAAAACGTGTTACATCAAAGTGAGTGATGCGAGAAGCTAAATGTGTAATGTAAGGGCCAAGGATAAGTGGGAGGTTGGATCGGATAACGATCTCAAAAGCCCGAGCAAACCAAAATCCTAGGTCCACATGCTCGCCGGAGGACATGCACCATAAAAAGAATAGCTCGACTCGGCTTAAGGAAAGTTTAGCTAAGCATGACAAAAGTCATACTTAGCATAAAAATAAAACTTGAAAATAAAGAAAAATAAAAAGAACTTGAAAAGGAAAAGAGAAGAAGATTTTTATAAAAACTAGAGAGAAAAGAAGAATGTATTCTGAATGATGAGTTTAGGCTTACCCCAAGTGGGTATTTATAGCCTCTCAAAGCCTAAAGAATAAACAAAGAAAATAATAAAATAATACAAAAGATAATTGTTTTTAAATTTAAATTCAAACTTAAACTAGTCTCCTAATGCAACTCTACTCGTCAATCTTCCAAAAGGCGTACGGAAGAAGTCTTCTAGAAACCGCCGCTGACTGGACCTTCTAGAAACTGCCACGTCATACCGCGTCGTGCCCATGTCTCCAGCCGTGACCAAATAATAAAAAAATACAGAATTCGCCCGTTTTGTCACAAATTTTGAAAAACAATGACATGTACGAAAACAAGCACAACACGACTAAATCAATAGCAATAAATCCACAAAACAAAAAAAATAACGAGTAAATATTAACTATTCTAAACACTCATCACCACGCCTCAACCTTTCCCAAGGAGTTGCCCATATCTTCTGCTCCGGCTAACGCATATAAAGCACTGCAGTCCCTACTAAAAAGTGTTTTAAATAGAAGCATTTGGTTAGGCGGCTGTTGCTTCAAGACTTGTATGTGCTTTAATTTTGACTGTCTTGGAAATGGAGAAAACAATTAATAGCGAATTTTAAGTGCACTTCTCTGCTGTCCCAACGTTAATGCAGAGTGGAATTATTAAATATGATCATCTCGGTTTACACACAAACAAACACATATATTAGTGTAATAAAGATTACTTTTGTCAAGTTAAATAGGATTAAAAAAATGATCTTTTTGGTTGAGCTCATAGTTCCTTTCTTTCCCTTGTATTCCTTTGCTATTGATTCGTATGTGTGCTATCTTTTATAGGCTATTTTTAACATTCAGATCATGCTTTTAAAAAAAATTATCAAGTCAGGTCAGACTTTTAAGAAGATCAGATCAAATTAAAAAAAAACCTTTGACAAATTACAAATTAAACTCAAGCCTACAAAATTTTTCGTAGGCCAGGTCGAGGCCTATTAAAGCTTGGCTTATTCCCATCCCTATTGAGGAAAGGCACCAGGGTTACGTACCATCCATACGCAATGGGACGGATGGAGCAGGTTTGGGGCTCCGATTGCCTCCAGTTCAACCCGGAAAGATGGTTGAAAAACGGAAGATATTCATATACCCCTCAAGACTTGTACAAGCTCCCAGTTTTCCAAGCGGGGAAAAGGGTTTGTTTAGGGAAGGAAATATCAGTGGTGGAGATGAAATGTGTGGTTCTGGCCGTCATTAGGCGGTTCAAAATCCAGGTTGCCGGTCTCAATCAAGCACCAAGGTTTGCTCCCGGTCTCACTGCCGCCTTCAGAGGTGGCCTACCGGTTCTAGTCCAAGAAAGGGAACCTTAGTTCACACATTTGCCTACAGTTCGCGTTGGAGTTAGATATAAGCTGATCCATTTGAGTTGAATTTGAAAATACAGGGAATCTGATGGGTCAAAGGGGATACGTGTATGTTTCTTCCTGTATATATGTTTTGGTCAGATTTAAGGATTTTGCCCCCACATATTTTGCACACATTTATATATATTTGATCTTTCTCTTCGTACCAAAAGCATATAATGCAGTAATGATTTTCAAGTTATCCATATTTTTCGATAAGGGGAAATTACAAAACATGAAGATGCATAATAGATATGAAGGAGCTCTTCAAAGCCACCAAAAGAAAATAAACAGATCAACAAACATGGTATCTGCAACAGACATCATATGTATGATGGCATTAAATATTGTTCAACAAATTCGTGTCGGATTTAATCTCATGTCGAAAAAGACCAGGAATGTGAATATTCATGATATAATCTTCCCAGTCAATAGTCTTCGAATCCAAGTTAAATTCAGCCGCATCAATGCCTCTCTCTTCAGCCACCCTCTGCAGTGTCTCCAAATTTCGGTCATCAAAGCTGCTTGGGAGAGAAGAAAACATTTTAAATGGTTATTTCTTATGACAAAAATGAAAGATGGTTCAATGTTGAATACAAAACTTACATCCCCGTGAAGAACACATAAGGTTTGTAAAATTCTGCTAATCGAAGTATATACTTAATTTTACGATCAAGATTTGTGTACATTTTCTTGAAACGTTGACAACAAAGTATATCGATCAAACAAAACACCTGAAAAAGAGATAAAAACTGTAGTGAAAAGAGGAACAATTTGGTGTAAAAATACTTTACAAAACTGAGAATTAAAAACAACAAACCTTTAGTGGAAGCACATATTTGAGCTTGATGAATAGGAAGAATCTATGGGGTGTGCTAAATACTGTTCCTTCACTAACTTTCACAATCTTTCCATTTGTATCAATCCATGGGTTTTTAGTGAAATAACAACGCAAGAATCTATGAAAATCCGATAATTTCATAGGATTTCTTGATGAGGAGCTGATATGGTAAATGGTCTCACGAGAACATCGACGATCTGCATAATGAATTTGCATGGCCACAACCATGGCGTTCACCACCATATCTACTGGTATCTGCATTGATGTTTATCACTTTCAGTTGTGATTAATCATGCCTAGTTAAAGGAAGAAATTCATGTCGGTGTTTACTAACCACATCGAGAGGAGAGTTAAGATCGCCAAGAAAAAAAGGTAATTTCCCCTTTCCATAACTCACAACGATTCTATCAACGGTTCTGCATGTAAGAAGCCATTAATAAATTTCACAACTTCAATCTAGTCATATAAATTAATAACTTGAATTAGTGTTAAATACCTGACACCTTCAATCCAACCAGGGAAAGGTTGTTTATAAGTACTTGTAACCATGGTGGGGCGTAAAATAACAAGAGGCAAATCCCCTTTGAAGTTTCCTAAAAGCATCTCTCCCATTGCTTTTGTAAATACGTATGTATTTGGCCACCCATTCAATTTTGCCCTATATTAATACAAACCCTTCACCTTTTTTTTTTGATAAATCATTTCACAATTTAGTTTAATCATAATTCAGAAAGGTTTAAAGGAGAAAATACCTTTGGAGGCCGAATTCTTTCATTGCTAATTTTATTGCATTGTTTGGGGCACATTGATTTTGTAGTTGCTCTAGTTTTTCTTCCACTATTCTCTTCTCTTCAAAGATGTCTATGTTACCCGTTCTATTCAAAGTCTCACCCATATGAAATCGTTTCTCCAAGATCACTCCTTGCCGCTCACCGCATACGTAAGCTGGAAAATACATGATATTTTTTTTATTGATCTAGAGTGATTATAAGTGGTAGTATATGTTTTAAAGTTTCTCAACCGTTTAATACTGAAATGCTCATATGTCCTATAATTGATGGTGCTCAAACCCGAGATCTTTAAGGATAATAACTACCCCTTTAACCACTGAAATAGTTTGGTTTGTGCAACAATTACATATAATTCCTTTGTTAATTGTGCAACAATGTATTGATAAGGACCATATTCACATTTAATAAATAAATACCTGTTGAAACATGGAGAAATAATTTTATTTTATCGCATTTCTTTCCGTAGTTCAGCACATTGAAAGTTCCAAATGTATTGATGTCCAATGCAACGTCGTACCTTTAAAAAAAACGTAAGAAAATTTCAAATAAAAATTTTATATTTTAATTCACTGTAAATTTATCCATAAATTTTTAAGTCATCGTCTAAATTTATTAAAAAAAATCTCTATTCAATGGGACTTGACCGAATGCTCAATCATATTTACGACAAACAAAAACGTAATTACCTTTCGTTGAAATCAGTTGTGCCAGCCACATTTACTACAATCTCTATTTCTCCCCACATTATTTCTCTTAGTTTTGAATTTGCGATTCCCAAACTCTCAAAAGAGATATCACCGGCCACTGCTACCACCTTACTTGATATCAAACTATCAAATTTCCAACTCCATTTGTCTCGGAGAACCTTGAACAATTTTGTCCTTAAAATCTATGCACAAATTATACATAGACATTAATGTGTGTTTTTTTAATTATATTTTCAATATGGAAAGAAGGTACAATTTTGCATATACCTCATCATGTAAGCGTTGTGTTGCGGACTTGTCATCTGAAGCCCTCAGAAGAAGGTAGAGCTTCTTCACATTTGGTTGCAGCCTTAATATCTTCTCCAGCAAAACTAAAAGTCATGGTTGAAACATTAAATAATTAACAGTTCTTTCAACAAAATCTCCATTGGGTTACCAAAGGGAGACTAAGAAAAGTACCCTTGGCCAAAAATCCAGTTGCTCCGGTGATTAATATGGTCTTGCCTCGAAGAAACTTGGCTACATTATCCATCTCCATGTCTATGTTTGAAAGCAACGAGATTTAAAAGAACAAGTTAAAATAGAGTTAAGATGTGAAATGTTGAGAATCACATACCTTGATTCTGGAATTCATCATTTTCACTTGTCCCTTCTTTCATCTTCTCACGGACAATAAAGGCTCTAAATGGAGCTAGTTTAAGCTATTCTTCTAGTTTTGATATATCTTCAATGAGTTTCAGAGAGGGTATTTATTGGGGAACTCTGCACTTGGTGCTGGTATCGTGCATGGTGATGTGATGGAGAACTATCTTGCAACTTCTCCTGTAATTTACTCAATACAAACAAGAGATATTATATTAGAGTGATGAATTTATGGAACTCTAAAGAAAGGACGAATTTATAAAATTTTAGGGGATAAAAACATATTTTAATAGAAAATACAATGAAAACATCTAAAATATACATAAATTTGAACTTTTAAGAGAATGCGACCGCCCCATTCCTCTTGGTCCATCTCTAAATTTTCTCTTAATTATTGTTATGCAATAGATGTGTGGTTTATATCACTCCAACTATTAAAATATGTAAATGAAGAATAAACACATTTGATCGGTTAATAATTTATTGATCTTAGGTCATGTGTTTTGGACCCATTAAAATCATTATCCTTTGTGTTATTTGAAACGAAAAAGAAAAGTAGGTAGCTTTCAATATCGTGTTTGACATTTATCCCTTATTGGTGTGGTATTTATTTTCGTGGATGATTGGTAAATTGCAATTCATACAAATCAATTTCTGCAAATGAATTTTCACATCAAATAAAACTTTATCTCCAAACAGAAAGATATATCAATCCTTAGAAAAGGCTCACCTGAGTTTACCCAATCAAGCTTCTTTGTAACCGTTGCTTCATAGGTTAATTTAAAATTTGGCAAAGGGTACATGAGGTCTTGTATTTGTCAAAAAAAAAAAACTAATGTGGCTCTCGACATTTTTTACACTCAATGCCCTTTGATCAATAGTTTTCGTCGTTGATCGTTACGATGTTGATGTGACATGACGTAGTACTGACGTGACAATCCACAGTGGCTGATGACATAACAAGTGGTTAAATTGATTTTTTCAAATTCGAGGGTCAAATTGGTTTTTTTAAAAGTTCAAGGGTTAATTTGAATTTTAAAAATAAAATAAAAATATTTTAAATTCAAAATATATAAAAATTACTAAATAAATAAATTATTTTATTTTAAAAATAAAAATAAAATAAAACTCGTATTAGAATTCCCCTCTAAATTCTAGGGGTGTGCAAATTAGGGTACCTGGGTTTTCGGGTACCCAGATCTTCAGTAATTGATTTATAGGTTCGTGTCCGAGGTACTCGGTAATCGAGTACCCAGATTTTACAGGTACCCGTATTTCAGGTACTCAGATACCTTGATTTTTTTAAATGTTCTAAAAAATAATTATTTACTTCAATTTAATATATAATATTATTTTATATATAAAAAATCCCATATATTGAAATGTTCTAAAAAATAGTTGTTTCCTTTAATTTTAGGACTATTTTTATATATATAAAATAATATTATATTATTATATATACTCGGATACCCGGTGATATTTAAAATATTTTAAATAATTATTTTGAAAGAAACAAAATAACTAAATAATTATGTGCAAGATATAAAATAATGTAAGTATTGTGAATATTTTTAGAGAAAGCGTATTGCATTAATTGTGATTTTATTCTGCTAATTAATAATTTGGTCTAACGATTAAGATAAAAGATTGATATTAACTATGTAATTAAGTGAGGATACTTAAAAAAGGGCTGTTTTGGCATCTGACGTCTCTCAAATTTATGCAAATAATTGAATAAAGTAAGCAATAAAGAGAACCAAAATTGTATGCCCCTTCGATGAAACAATTAAGTTATTCGGCCCTTTAAATACTATTTATCAAACCTATCAACTGACCTTCATAACAAAAAAAAATGTTATTTTTAAGAGGTTTTAAGTTTACCGTGCATGTATATCTAGGGATGGATTAGGAAGTGGGTGATTGGGGTAGTCGTCTTCCCAAAAAAATTAATTTTTATATATTTTTTTTTGTATTTTCAGTTGAAAATTTGTTTTCACCCTAAAATTTTATAAGTTCGTCTTCCCTTAGAATTTTATAAATTCGCCCCTATAACATAAAGTTCTATGTTTATCTTTGTGTGTATTGTCAATAGATTAAGAAAATTTTGAACAAATATTATCTTGTAATTATCCTAAACTATTCAAAAAATATTGTTTATAACAAAATTTGTTTATCGATTGAACATCAAATTTATTGACGTGATGATTTATGTATAAACAATTCAGTGATAAAAAATTTTGATTGAATATTTTTTTGAAAGATTTAACTTGTTTAATCACCCATTAAAATAATTATTAAATAAAATATTTTAAAATATATAAAATTTATTTATAAATTCAAGAAAATAACATTGAAAGTATTTAAAAACTATAAAGAGTATTAAAATTTATTATCAAAAGAATAATTACAAAAAATAATTAATACTTCAAAAACACTTAGAATTATTTAAGATAATATTAAAATTTTAGAAAAATATATTAAAAAAATGTAGACACCTTCACCGATGAAATCTTCGATTCTCAGGTTTGAGATAAATTTCATATAAAAAATGAAGTATGAATCCATAGGGTGCAAATGAATTTAAAAACAGACATAGATAATACAGTATAAATATACAGAAGATAATCAGTCACTAAAGGTTTTTATCATTTGATAGACTAAACTTCTCTCTTGTTGTTATGATTAAATTCATCAAAATCTTACTCGCAATATATATATTTCATGATTATAAAATCTAATGGATGATGTCAAAATAGCTTCCTCTAATGGGAGACTGCAAGAGGATAACCACATACACAAAATAAACATTTATAGCTTAAAAGATGTTGGAAAAATATACAAGATACGAAGATGGATTGAATCAAGCTTCTAGAAATTGGAATCTTTATTCTAATGGTGGGTTTGATTTTATCAAAAATGAATTTTGTTTTTATAAGAAAGTGGGAGAGCTATACATTCTTGATATTGTACATGTATAACACACTTTGGGAAAAAGGCTTAGGGCTGTTTGTTTACTTCAGAACGATTAAGCGTTGAATGATTTAAATGTGAATGATTCAGAGGCTCTGAATGAATTAGCTCTGAATGTAACATGTTGTTTGATAATGCTCTGAATCATTCAGAATGTACTGTTTTGCTGAATCAGTCAGCACTAAATCATTTAGAGGTGCGAAACAAAATCGTTGAATGCTGAACGGTTCAGCATTCAACGCTGAATGGTTCTATTAAAAGACAAACAAACAACCCCTTAATCTGGTGGTGAACTAGACCAACAAAATGTACTTATAGATTAATAAACTCATAAAAAAATGTCTTTACTAAACTTCACTCTCTCATATTTTGCTTACCGTACTTTCAATTTTTCTATTTTGCTCACTGAACTTTATATATTGAATCATTTTGCTCACTCTGCCTTTAACTATTTAACGGTGTTATGACATGGTACAAGAATCAAAACGGCGTCGTTTTGAAAAACTCAAATATACACCAAAACGACGTCATTTCGAATCCTCTTCTTTCCCCACACCCCCACTGTCACCGCTGGCCACCAGCCCACCAAGTCATTTTGCATTCCGGCCATCGTCGACCCTCGTTGATGGTGGTTGTTCGATCGCAAAATTAATGGGTCGGTTCGTCTCGACCTCCAGAGTCAAATATGTTGGTTGTTTCATCGAAAAATATCTCAAAATCCGTGAATCTTAACAGAAATGTTTCGACTTCCTCACTTTCAATATTTGATTCGTGATCTTCGAAGCAAGTTCTGACAAATGGAGGTCAGATTCGAACTCAGAGTGTCAAGTGAAACGATCTAAGAAATTTGGGACTAAACAACAACCACCTACGACGATTGATGATGGCCCACTGTGACATCGACCATCTTTTGTTTTTATTTTATAATTGAGTGAGCAAAATAAGAGAGTAAAATTCAATGAAGAACGGTATAATTTACTCTTTATATTTTCAATTATTTTATATTAATAATAATTAAAAATTGACACATCATCATACCGTTAGAGAAATAATGATAGAGTGAGCAAAATAATTCAATCTGTAAAGTTCAATTTACAATTAGCAAAATAGAAAAATTAAAAGTACAACGAACAAAATAAGAGAATAAAGTTCAACAAGAAACGATGTAATTTACCCTGAAAAATGTTTCAAAGCTGACATTGGATAAAGTTTGGTTATTGAAAGTATTCCATCGGGTAATATTCAAAAATTAAAAATATGAGACAATAGAACAGTATACAAAACTATTAGCTACGATATAATACACCCTCTTTTATCTTTTATCACATCCATTCGACCTTCCTCTCCAAACTCCTTTGTAAATCTTTCATGGACCTCAAGATCAGCTTTGCTCACCGTTGGCCTTTGTCTTGCCAGCACCTTATCAAAATCTGATTTCGAAATAGGGGGTGGAAGGATCTGCAAGGGCAGTAAATAATGAAAAAGCAATTTTAGTCAATGCTAACCATGTTCCAATATGTTTTTTTTACTGCATATGGTAATAATGTTCCAGCATGTCTTCTGGATAATCCAATCTTAGACATGGTAAATAACTAAATAGACACTTGATCTCAATGCAGAGAAACATATCACAAATAAAAGAATCACAGAGAATACAGAGGAACAGGGACACAATGGTAAGAACTCAACTAAGCAACTTGATACCTGTGCTGCAAGTCCTTTGGCTGCCAATTCCAGCATAGTAATTTGCACAGCACCAGATTGCTTTGGTCCACATGGAATCCACATATCATTAGGTGTCGTGAAGAAAAACATGGCATCTTGGGTTTTTCGAACAGGTTCAAAAAGAACATCCTTAACCTGTCAAGACATAAACAAAAACACACAAGTTAAAAGAAACACTGGCAAGATACAATTCAAAGAAGACGAAGATATAATGACCAAGCACAACACTGCTCCGAATATTCATTTTCTTAGAGTATCCTTGTCCAACACATATTCATAAATTAATATAGGGATATGACCCTTCAAGGATCCTCCAAACACATGAAAACCCCTTTTTTTTGTTGGGGGGTTTGAAAATAACCA